TCCTGCTTCCTGATCACTCCCCTTTAGACACTTGGAAAAACAGCATGTTGTATGGTGGGGCAGAGAGTGGGATTAGGGAGCAGTATGGATGGGTCATAGTTCTCAATGGACGCAGTCCCTCAGAGGACAAAGCTGGGACCAACTGGGCATCAAGACTGAGTGGTTTTTGCAATGTACAGATCTGAGGATCTTGGACTGAGTCCTAGTTTTCTAAGAAATCTTTCATATTGATGCTGTTCCAAAGCTTAATTTTTATGTAATTTGAAGTTTAGTACTATTATATTGCATACGTTTAACTATTCAACTATTTATTTGGTTTCCTTATGCTGTTCCTTTATAATAAACTGACAAAAGTTTTCTTGCTATAAAAAAATGAATAGAAACTCTTAAGCTAGTTTTTCCCCTTTGTCCATATTGCTACAGACTTTCCTAATTTCAAATGTATCAAATGTTCTTACTCTGTTTAGTGAGCAGGAGTTCAGTGCTCTGCTAAGGTTACAGTTCCTCCTTCACACAAAAGTTAAATGGCTTCTTAACAACACCAGCAGTACTGGGATGATCTGATCAGCAGGGCTGGAATGGTGAGGGAAAAAGCTCTAGTACAGAAGAAAGCCGAACCAAAACCAGTGTGACACTGAGTGGGTAGTTTTCCATAAGGCTGTACTGCCAGAGGTCAGAGTGCCTTCATTTCAAGCCACATCAGAAAAATTGAACTGTTCTATCAGGCTTCTTCCCCTAAGGAATTACATATTGAGTATTCATGTAAGTAGGGCAGCTTCTCACTCCTTGAAGACCTTCATATAAGAAAACACCCAGTAGTACTGAGAATTGAGTTCAGATTTGTTTTATATTGTAATGCAGAGATGCCTTTCGTGCTCTGGAGAAATCAATCAGTTGCTTGATAGCTCAGGCTGGCTGTCAGCTGGAGTTAGACATGAATCTTAGAGCCAACAGAGTATCTGTGTTGTCTGGGTGTTTCTGGAGGCAGATGGTAGCTGACCCTACCTACAAGGCTGATCGGTTTCAGGGTTGTTAGACAGGACCGTACCTTTCATGAGCATCTTTCTTTTACCATCCAGTCATTTGCCCAAGACAATTTGCTTGGGTGAGGGGACACTGACTCATGAAATTCTTCTGTGCAAGATTACAGTTTCTCCCAGCTTCCATCACTGCCGTTTTGACTTTTTTTTTGGTACATCCATACTTCCTTACTTTACAAAGTTGAGCAAAGCAGTGAGTTGAAGCATGCTCACAGCCCACCCTTACAAAACAATGTTGCCACATCTGCATACATAAATGTTTAATAGCTCACGGTTGCTCGCAGCAAATCATTCGAGGAAGTGTACCTGTTTCAGTTCTTCTTTGTAACCACAGATCATGTCTCAGATGGAGACCGGTACTAATGGAAAAGAGTAGGTGCTGAGCAGTATACAGTTTGTCCTAGATATACTGTTTTTAATGTATGACAATGAAGCTTAACATGTATACATGAACTATGTACTTACTACAAGGCCAGCTTCTCTTGAATTGGCTGCTTTGAGATTTCCAGTGGGCTGCATTTCTGTTTAACTTTTTGTGCCTTAAGGTGGTTTTATACGGTGTTTTTTAATGTCATTAAGAATTTGTATAAAGTTGTGAAAGTTTAATAGTATAAGTTATAAACAAGGCATCTTAGATTCACCCTATTAACAGGGAAAATTTTCCATAACATTTGACTGCAGGACTATCAGCCATCCCACACACTTGAAGCTGTTTCTGTTCTACTGTGAGCGTGGGTAAAGCTGAAAATGAGGTGTTCTTACCCTGCACTGTAGAAAGGGACTATTGCGGTCCACGTTCTTGAGAGGCTCAGTTACTAAGTGAAGCAACACATCAGGAAGACTGGGAACAAATCGTTATTTTATGTGGAAGAACTGGTTTTCCACAGTTCTGTGAACACAGAGGACTGTGTGTTCATATGCAAGTCATCTGAAAAACGCTGCTTGTGTTGGTGGGGAAGGGGCTGGTGTGGAGAAAGAATCAACTTCTTGGACCTTGTGGGCAATGCTCTCCCAGTCCCTGCTCTCCAGACTGGGCACCTGCTGGCTGCCTTTGTAGCACTGGGAGCATGGCTGTTTGCTCAGATGCAGGATGGTGAAGGAATGGAAGGGCAGTGTTCCTAAAGGGTTGTTATGTCTATGGTTCTGTTGCAAGACCCATGAACTCTTATCAATAAGAGGGGTAGGTCCAGGCTTAGACCTCCCTTGCAGTTGTTGGACTAAATAGCAAACACCTGACTGAAAGCACAGCCTTGTCTTCTCTTGTTGCTATGTTCCCCTCTTCAAGTAAGGGGCTATAGATTTTATAGTCACTAAACTAAAAGTTCTGCAAAATAATATTTTTCATTTTGTCCAAAGCTGAATTTGTATTGTGATTTGTCTCATTTGTCACACTTTTCATTTGTGGGTCCCTGAATAAAAGCTTGTCCCAGCTTATGATCTACCAAGCGAATCCTGAGAGCTGTTAAGTCACAAATGCAAATAAAAATTAATTGCCCATTCTCCACTGATGGTGCTCGCAGGGAATGGGGAGGGAGGTGGGCCTTGCACCAAGTTACTCCATGGCTTAAGATCTCTCTTGAATATTTCAGGTGTTGTCCCTGGAAGAGAGTTCAATATTTTAAAGAAATATTGCCAGTTCATTGTACTTCTGATAAGGTGTTTACTGTTTCAGGAACTTTACAATAAATGAAATTTTGTTTTCTGAACAGCTAATGGGTCTCTTGTTCTTTGTGCTTCGGGAAACACTTAAAAACATGATCTTTCCTCGAAACAGCATTGCTGATTAGAAACTGAATTCCAAAAAGTTACACTGGTTTATCTGGTGCAGGATAGCTGCATGATGACTGAAATTAATAGTAAAGCTGAAGCACAGTGCTGCATTGCAAATTACTGCAACTTAAACTGTTCTGTGGTTGGTGACTGCACACCTTTATGCCTGGCTTTGACTACTAGCTAGAAATATTCTGATGGATCTAGGTTGTAGTATGTTACATGGAGTCTCTTGCTTTTCTCCAAGGACTACTGTGAAGTTATTTTTCTCAACACTCATTAGAAGGATTATTTTAATTTTCTGAATTCTATATTTGTTCAATTTTTGCAGCAAATATAAAATGCACCAGTCATCTTTTCCACTCAAAAGCAATGTGCTTCCACTGTAGAGTTCTTCACAACACAGCATTTACCGATGTTGAATTAAGCTGTCATTGGGATTGATGAATATAGTCACATTATCCATGTAAATCTTCCTGGGTTTTTCTTGGTGTATACCAAACCTAGAAGTACATTTCCATTAGATTTAGGACTGTTATTTTAGATGTTGAACAACCGGAAATTACCTGCCTGAGGATGTGCAGTTGGAAAGATGGTATTTAAATGCCAAGAACTGTGTGCAATGTAGGACAACTGTGTATCCAGGACAGGGTGGAGCAGATACAAATCAGCATTAATCCAGGTTTAACAAATCATGCTGTAGTGTCTGCTCTTAAGCAGTGAAAGTTTGATATCCCCTCCAAAATGTGCTGTGTCCAGAACTGTGTTATTTGTCTGATGTGACTTCCTGTGGGGAAAGTTAGAGCATCAGCTAGATCCTAGCTGATGATCCTAGGGTGAGAAAACCATTTCTTCTTCTATGGAAAGGCATTTCCTCTTCTAACACTGCTTAATTTCATTAATTGTTCCTGTTATAAGACAGCTAAGAACTGTAGAGCTTTGTTAAAGTAAAATATTTTGGTTCCATAAAAATACAACCTTGAAGAAAACAGAAAAAACAGAAAAAAATTTTCTGTTATAAAACAGAAAAAAATTAAGTCCATATGAGTGTAAAAATCTCTCTTAATTAAGGAAAGGTTAGGATTTGTCAAAATGAAGCAGAGCATTAGGACCACAACAGTTACTGCAAAATTAGGAGAGGAAAGGGAACTACCTGAAGGGATTATCTTTTTCCTGTAAACACGGAGAACTTAATTGAGTCTTTGCTTGCTTGTGCAATTAGAATCACAACGAAGCTGGTGATGCATTGAAATCAGTGTACCCGACCTCTTCAATTAATTTGTAATGCCAGCATACAGACTGAATTACACAGGTGCCTTTTCACTAATCCTCACAGGGAAATGTCCTGAGCTGCTGGGGTATCACCTTACTGTCTGCCACCTTCCAGTAGCACTCTGTGAGATCCAGCTGGCCTGGTCACTGGGTGGAAGTCCTTGTTGTGGGCCATACCAAGCAAAGAGAGGCAAAGACTGTCTCTCAAAAGTTATTGAATAAAGGTGCTTGCTCCTAAATCCTCTAGGAAAGCAAATTAACAGAAACAGCACTAGATTGGTTAAGAAATTACATTATTCTATTAATTTTATACAATTGGTGCTAATTAAAATGAACCAAAGGCATTTGGCCAAGTGTGATGTGTCTTCCAAAATAACATCAAAAATATGCAGGTCTCCATTGCTCCTTGTGTTACAGGACTGTCTGGGCCCTGCTACAGGGAACTTGCAAATTTTGCAAAAAACCATGCAGGAAAATGATTTTTCTTTGACAAGCAGGAAAGATGAAGGAAACAACTGGATGCATTCTCATTTCTAAATGCGAGATGAATTCAAGTTACTTGTGTTCCCAGTGCAATGCAAGATATCTGCCCAAGGTACGAAGTTAACTGAGCTGGACAAAACTCTATTACTCCTTGGAGAAACATATTCAAAAGGGAACATGTCAGCCCGCTTAGGCTTTCTGAAGGTAGTGCTTTTAAAACATCTGGCTTTACACTGCCCCTGTATGCTAGTCAGGTCCAACTCAAGTAGGTTCAAGTCTGCTGAGCAATATTTGTTGTTCCTCAGCTGTAAGTTAAGTCCTTGCCCTGAACAGTCTGCCACCTTGATAGTTTCCTTGAGGGTGATGGCTGCCTGGCAGAAACAATTAAAATCAAACTAGAGAATAAGAAACAAACACGCAATCCAGCAAAGGTCATGACAATGATGGTTGTTTTAACCACACCAACAACTGGCAAAGGAACTGTGCAAATTTTCAAGACAATTAAAAAGAAATTATTTAACATACTGAACGTGATTAAAATGGTTAAAGGATTGCAGCACCTGTTAACAAAGCTGAGAGACTTGGAATTGGAGAAGGCTCAGCAAGGAATCTTATCAGTGTGAGGGAAGACTAAAGAGAATGGAGCCAGATTCTCTTCAGTGGTGTCCATTGGCAGGACAAGAGGCTGTGGGCACACACTGAAACCCACGAAATTATGTTTAATCATAAGAGAAAGCTTTTTTTACTGTGAGAATGGCTGAACACTGGTACAGCTTGTCCAGAGGTCATAGAGTCTCCATCCTTAATGATCTTCAAAAGCTGACTGGATGTGGTCCCAGGTAATATGCTGTAGCTGACCCTGGTGGGAATGAAACACTTGGACTAGATGATCTCCCAAAGCTTCTCCCAACCTTAACTGTTCTGTGGGATCTAGGGTCTTTTATCAAAAGGTGAATATTTTCTCAATAAAAATGAAATCAGTGTTTCAGTGACATAATGAAGTTAAATAGAACTTAATCTGCTCCAGTGTTCCTTAGAAGAAAAGACTGCAAAGGGCCCAGGTGCCCTTTTGAAGTTATTTGGGCTTTCAGCAGCTGCTAGGTTTTGAGACCTTTGCTCTCCCTGTTTTCCTGGCATGTTCCAGCTCCCTTGGCTGCTCCTGCTGCACCTGTGTCCTCTCTGAAAGCAGCCGTGGGCTGTGATGTATTTAGTGGGAGCCACATGGCTAAAGCAGCTTGGCACCAGCCTGCTGAGGTTTTTTTTTCCCCCTTTGAATATGTGCATCCTAAAAGAGCTCAAACATGGAGAGGAAGTGACTTCTGCAGCTCTTCAAGGTCACGAGGTAAGAAATTCTGTGTTTGCTGACTCTTTGGTAATAAAACAAAGGCAGGGATTTGATTGTGATTTTACTCTTGTCCCACTGTACTGATTTGCTGGCTTCCAGCTCCACCCATTGCTTTCTTTCTTCTCTGGGTTTAAAGATCTGATTTAGAGAATTGGTATGATATGATGATACTGCCTGTTCCTACAGCTCTGGTGACCCCGTTGGTTGGTTTGGATGACTGGGTGTGCTCAAAGTTAAAGGGGTGCTTTGTTGGGTCTCTGGGGGGAAAGTGAGAGATGAAACCACTTTGTGGGCCCTGCTTCCCCCAAGAAAGGTAATAAAATCTCCAGTATTACTGGTAAGGTTTGTGTGAGGATACATCTTCCCCGTCTGGAAAACCCAGGGTTAGAGCTAGGCCATGCAGTGGTGGTGTGGTGCAGCAATTTGTGAAGCCAGAGTGGGGATCTTGTGTGTGCCAGCTCAAGAGCCAAGGAGGTGGTGAGCCAGCATTGTGCGGCAGGCTGGGGTGCTTGTGGCCAGGTTTCCTGGACACTTGCTCCCCTTTCAGCCATTGCAGGCTCCAGGCTTACTATGCACACAGAGGTGACAAAATGCAGATGAACAGCAATGCGTGCCAGATGCAGCCAGTGAAGACATAGGGAGGGACTATGTCTGACTGAACAGGCTGGGGTTGCTCTCCACAGCCACATCATCTTTGGAGATTAGGAAGAAATCAAAGCTGCAGCCAGGAAAGTGGTAATTGATGGATGAGAAGTGGTTTATTTGGCTTTTTCTTGTCAACTGTTTGATTCCCCACCAAACTTCTTCAGTGACCAAAAGCTAGAGTTGATCAAGCTCTGCGACACAAGGTGTCCTGGAGATCTCCGTATCTCTCAGATGTTCTTGCTAGCTGGGCTGCAGTAGTGCTCGGCTGATATTTTCACATCACATGGTTTATATTTTGTTTTACAAAACCAGTAAGGAGTGATTTTAATCTGGGTAATGCTGTCTCTCTTTGATTCATCCTAATTCTCTCCCTGGTGTGCTGGGCTCTCATGCGGGTTGGATCAGGTCTCACAAGAGCTGTTCATCCCGACTGCTCTTCGTGAATTTCAAACTACAGCATGTGTATTGTTTCTTTCTAAAATTGTTTGTCCAAGATGCCTTTGCTGTGGTCCTTTAGTATCTCTTTCTTTTTACTATGGCATTTGCTCTTCAGGTTTGTTCAAAAGCCACCTTGCCCAGCTTGCTGGGTCATTGTTGAACAAGAAAGTGCTCACTGTTATTCAACAATTCTTTGATCTAATTTGCCCTTCTCTGTGAAAAGCTTTGCAGTGCCTGTGCCTCAGGTGGGTTTCTAGGATTCAAATTTGAATGAAGACATGGAGACGGAGGAAAAGGGAAATGTGTGATATAAGCTCTGGGCTTTCCCAGCTTAAGCATCTCCGTTAGAGTGAATCCAAAATACTCTTCTGTCGGGAGGTTCTTAATGGCTCATGTGTTACTTTAAGGTACGAAGGCAGGACAGTTACTTGTGTTTTTTCAATGTCTCAGACTGTGCCTTAGGCTTTGCAATTGTTCACGTGTGCAGTTTGGGGTGGGAGTGGAAAATGCATGCATTTGGGGTTTTTTGTTTGTTTGTTTGGTGTAGTTCGGTTTTTGGTTTGGGTTTTGGGGTATTTTTGGTGTTTTGGTTTTTTTTACTTATTCCTCAGCTTAGTTCTGGTGATGGGCAATTCTCTACCTGATAGACAGAATCATGGCACAGTCAAAATCTCCTATTGTAGTCAGAGTGAACTGGGACAGTACTTCACCTGTTCTGCACCTCCTGAGTGTTCTCCTCCCTAAGTAAATGTCCCCTCCTGAACTCATGTCAGGCAGTGCCAGTGTGAGGCAGTGGCTTCTTCTGAGTGACCTTCAGTGTGAGCAGCGAGTCTCTTCCTGGAATTCTTAAGTTACAAGGAATAGCCTCAGCTATTTCATGAGCTTTTTAATCATATCTGTAAGGGAGCAAATCTACCTGATATGTGGCGTAGAGGGTGCTGCTGCTGAGCCTCACCTTTGCTGCTTCATTGCTCCTGATTTAGGTAACACCTTGTTGAGAAATGAGTGAAAACTGAAGCAGCAAGGGAATCGCTTTGAGAAGCTGGCTTGGTCTTCTGGCTATGACAGAGCAGCCCAACTGTCCTGATTTTGGTCTGCAATTGTAAAACAAATCTAAGTTTCCTCGCAGTTTATTTATTTCAAATTCATAATACCAGCACACACCTGACTTCTCTGGAACAGCAAGTCTTTTGCAAGGTATTTATTTTAGGCTTCTGTTGAACACATGAATAAACTAGCAAAAGAAAGAAATTACAATTACAACAATGATGAGGTCAATCTTAGAGAGAAAATTGTCTTGAGAGCACCCACTTAAGTGAAACTGTCACTTGTGACAACTGTGTACATTCATGGACACAGCAGGATGCAATCGATTAATGGCTCCTTTGGCTCAATGGGAGGCAGAGAGGCAGCTGTCTCTGATTTTTAGCCTTCTTGCACACCAATGCTTTCCGCCGGGGAGTGGTAAACAAGGATATTCTGACCATCCCGTAGTTTCAAGGTGACATCCTGAAGGCACCAGCTGACACAAAACAAAGGAGATTTTTAACTTCTATCAATCACAGTAGTAAAGTCAGTGTAGAAATAGCTGGCACAGAGAAACAAGTCATTCCACACTTCTACTGCTTTTAAAAATTCTCTCAACCGTTTTAAAACTTGGTTTGCAAGTGCCAGCTTCTGAAAGCTGTTCTCCCTAATAGCATAGCACAGCCCAAATTCAAAGCTCTGGGATGCCTGTTTCCTATTTGCTGCAACTCAAATAAAATCCTGCCAGCTCTTCTTAGATAGGATATTCCTCCCCTGACCCATTGCCTTTTTTTCCTCTCCATCCTGCGGGTGCATTCCTTACTCCACTCCTCTCTGGCCTTGGAGCCAGACGGTGTTGCTAAGGAATTATCCTGGCTTGGAGGAGTTTGAACACTGTGTGATCACTCAATGTGACTGCTGAAACCCTGACAGGGTACAACAGTGGTTACTCAAAGAAGGAAAACTGCATTTGTTGGAGACTGAGGGGGAGTCTTTTCCTTCCTCTAAGCTCTGCTCCAAACCCACTTCTGAGAGACTGTTCATGCTGCTTTTCCAGCTGGAAAGGACTATTATTTTGGGGTACTAAAACAGGATTTTTACAAAAGCTCACCCAGCTCTGCTTTTGCTGGAGTCAGTGCTGAGTACATACAATTAGGTAATTAGGCTGCCGCACCTCTGTGCAATGGGTCTGCAGCAGGGCTCTTTGCTCCCTCTGCTTCCACTCCCAACCCAGGACAAGCAACTGCCTCCTTTATAACCAGGCTTGAAGGAGGAACTGCTCCCTCCCCACAGTGTGGCCTGGGATCTCAGCCCTTCTCTCCGTTCACTTTGGGGCAGGCAAGTGTCATTTTGCACAACTGGTGCCTTGGTTGCCCTCGCCTCTGGACACCCTCCCCACCCCTGCACTGCCTGCACTTGAGCGAATGCCTCTTCCTCCTGCTCCGAATGAGCTCACAGATTCCAAATTTCCCTTTTTTCAGTTGCCTTCTCTTTTATAAACAAATAAACCCCTACGGACAGACTGCACACTCAGAGTCAGATGCATTTCTGTGGCTTAGGAGCCTAAACTACTCTTGCACAGAGCACTCAACTCCCAGTGTCATAGAATCATAGAATCAGCTGGGTTGGAAGGGACATCCGAGATCATCAAGTCCAACCCGTGATCCACTACTGCTGTGGTTACTAGACCATGGCACTAAGTGCCACATCCAGTCTTATCTTAAAAACCTCCAGGGATGGAGAATCCACCACTTTGGATGGGCAGCCCATGGAATGGGTCTGACTGCCTCCCCAGTCACTGCTGGAAAAGCACACATGCATAATCTGGGGAACTCCACTAGGACAGCCTGTGTACATGTTTGTTACTCCCAGCCATTTTACTGTTAGTTCCTCAGCTGGGTGCAAGGACATCAAGTCCTGCCTTAGCCCCACATGAAGCTGTACACAGGACCCTGCACACAGATGGAGTTGATTGAGTCTGACAGATTCGTTTGCCATAAATCCTCTTACAAGAAGATGCCTTTTTTTTTTTTATCTTAAGCTTATAGAAATACATGGAGAGCTTTAAAAACTTTTAAAAACACTTTAAAACAAAACTCTGAGAGATATATATGCATTAATGTAGTTCAACACCTTGCAATCTTCAGTTATCCTCACAGTAACTGTGAACATGGAATGTCAGGGAACTGTTATTTCCCTAGTCTGTGAGGGGCTAAGGAGGAGTGAGGAGATCAAGGCACCAAGGAAGTGATCTGTGCAAGAAAAGTGGCTGGGGACCTCTGGGGTTATCTCTGGTCACTAGGGAGGAGGCCAGGCCTGGTACTGAGTTTTTCAAGTCCCAGACTAGCGCCGTCCTCACATCATTTTACACCTTACTGCCTGTACTTACTCAGAAGAGAAACACTAAGTCATGCTCATCTAATTATGAAAATAAAACATTACCATACGGCTGGTGGCAGCTAAGTAAGAGTTTTGTGGCTTTTGGTTTCTAAACAGAGCTAACAGAAGTGCCTAACAAGAGCTTTGCATCTAATAAAACAGTGTTTTGCAATGGAAGATGGACTTTGAATTCATATAGCAATTCTTTGCCCAGTTCTAGAAACCAGTTTACCCTTGACAAAGGAGGTTTTCAGGCTTTAGTACTACAAAAATGTAAAGTCACTTCTATATGATGTGGAATCAGAGCATCCTTCAACTGTAATATATCTGTTGTAGCACTTTTTTTTTTAACAATAAGGACCATATTTATGAAATGAAAAAAAAATCCTGCATTTTCAGCTCGCCTTGCATGGCTCTGATGAAATGTGTGATTTGCTTACTGCAATCCATACCAGACTAGAGTTAAGATTGCTGTTCAACAGCCTCTGCACCTCTGTGGGGAGCAGGGGTGGAAGGGGACAGTGCGTTACCTTGGCTCATAGTATTTGTATGTGTGCCAAGCTACAGTTTGCAGAACACAGTTAACACAGATGAATGGCTCATGTTGCTCTTCTATTGGCACTCAGAGAGATGAATTCAATATATTTCTCAACTAATTTACATTTTAGTCATAATGATGTTAATGACCTTTCACAAGACCTTCAGACAGGAGTTTCCGCTTGCTTTGTGTGCATGATCTCAGCAACATGGATGACTAAAGCAAATATCCTGCTCTACTCTTCTCTCCTACCACTTCTTTCCCTGCATCCAGACATTTCTCCCAGCACCTCCCCCAGTACACACCGCTGACGGGAGTGGTCCATCTCCGAGTTAATGTAGAGGTATCCCGCTGATTTTGTTCCAGATACTGGTAGCTTTATCTGCAAATGTAAAAGCATGTTAAAGATTCAGCAAAGCAAAAAGGACATTTACTCCTTCTACACCTCTTTACCTTAAACTCTAAGTATGTTTTTCACTGTATCTCAGAGTTTGACCAAGCCATTCTAACAGCTAACATGTGTGTGGCTACACAAGTATGCCTGTTCTGCCATGCATTAATCTCTCTCTGCTGAAAGAATGTACTGTTACAGCTGCAACCCCCAGGGAAAATCACTCGCTCTCTGAAATATTTATGAGCAAACACCTTTCCTTACCAGAATACATGGTCATCCAGAGGTAACCTGCACTGTTAGGGCTTCTCATAACCATAACAAGCCAGTAGGTTGAGACCCTCTACAGATCAGTCCCTCAACACACACCAAGGCAATAAGACTTTCAGTGATTTTTCCTTTTTTTTTTTACAATGTCACAAATTCTATCACTCAGTTATTGACAAACAAAGCTGGAGCTGCAGCAGTGATCAAGGTGGCCAATTGCACTTGGTCTAATGTCTGAAAAAAGAAATATGTTTCAGGTGTAGCATTTGCTGGCGGTGTTGTAATCACAAAGAGAAAATGCCAGGTGTTCTCCAACAGACCCAGGAGATGGGAATGTTGTGGAGTCAGTAAATTGACCTATGTTATAATGATGATTAACTAGTTTGTTTTATGAGAACATGAATGCTTAGGAGCATGAAAAAGCGGAGAAGAAAGTTGGTGGTTTGTGTCTTGGGTGAGGTCGGTAGAAGGCAGGGTTTGACTTCACCCTGAGTCACCCAAGTGACTAGCATTCTTAAACAGTGACATAGGAAAACACCAGTGGGAAAGGTTATCTGCCTTTCAGTCAGCATAAGAGATTGTGTGGGGTTTTGCACATTTGTTTCCTTAGACATGTTTCTTGGTAGAATCTATAAAACCTGGGAAACATTTTGGCACAGGGTATCATGTGAGTGCAGCCTAGCTGGAGGGAAATGTAAAGAAATTTCATATGAGTTGGTTAAAGGCTGGGTTTTATCTTGCCCTGATAGTCCCTTTCCTTCATGTACCATCTGAATCATTCCTTAATGCCCTTGCTCGGTCCCTAAAATTCAGAACTACTCAACAGGAAGAACAAAATTATTCCGACGTGACAAGTTACCCCAGTGAAGGACCTGGAGAGTCGATAGGGACGTTTTGTGTCACCAGCAAAACAAGGGAAGGGCAACTAGCCCTGGATTAAGGGGTAAAAACACTGAGGGAAAGTCCTTTTCAGGCAACAACACTGAGTGGAGGTGGACTTGTGTTAGCGAGGTTTGCTTGGGCCCAGCCCTGAGCTGACACAAGGCAGCCTTGTGCAATACTTCAGCACGCAGTGCAGCATTTTCCAGTCACTATGTAACCCCCACGCTCAGTCTCAGGCTGGGCAGCAGTTCTCCATGACACAAACTTACAGGTGCTTTTAAAAACCACACCACCTGTGCTGTACCACAGCATAGCCTGTAAGTGGCTATAAAACTTCACTCTGAACAAAGCTTTAAAAACTAGCATGGGATATATCTGGGGGGGGAAAGGAAGACAGGTGCTATTTTAAAGCTGGATCTCATATGTATCTGAAAATAATTTTGTGGCTTACAGTTGCAGGAGGGCTATCAACTGGTTTGAGAGGTCCCTTGGCATTCTGTGATGTGCCCATATAGCACAACAGGAAGATGCTGCTATTGCTGTTTCTAGTCTAATAGATTTATACTTTGGAAATCCATTCGTCTTCCAAATCAACTGGTATCCTATTCTACTGCCTTTCAGTGTCCTCAAATGACTTATGAGCTGCTGATCAGGTCACAAAATCCCCTGGCTGATCTCTTGTCACCTGACATCTTGGGAAGCCACCCTGTGACACCACCTCCCCAGCATTACCTGTGCTCTTTCTGTGTCTACGCGATTACTCCCATCTGTCAGTCGGATGTTGTGAACCTTAAGAGGGGGGGCACCCAGGGCTTCCAGGGCATCAGGATTGCTGTTCAGTTGCTCCAAAGCTTGCTGGTAATACTGGGTCCTGGCAAAACTTTCTAGGTGAGAGAAACAGGGTAGTGAGGAGACTGTTCACTTAAAATCAAAACATATGCTAAAAAAAAAAAATTTCTCAAGATTACCACACCTTTCCTGAAGCACAGTCCAAAACTATTAATTAGGAGAAATTTGGCAAAAGGAAGAAACACACCCCGTCATCAAATGTTATTCAACTCATTTAAGTGAAAAGGGCCCTGAACATAGACTGTTCCATACTGACATACAGTTCAGCTTATGGCTGTGTCTCCTCACTTTTCATGCATTTGTAGGTCATCTAAAAGGAAGAAAAATAAGAAAAAAAGGCACAAGGATGAATATCTGAAATGTTCTAATGGTAATTCAAGTTTGTGGGGTTTTTTTATAGGAGGCACATAAAATACTTTAGGAATGGAGAATATTTTACAGACATTGACATAAGACAGGAACAGCTGCTGCTGTGGAACTATTGCTGTGGTCTTGATACAGCTTTCCAAGTGGCAGCCACAAAGCTGCAACCCTACCAACAGATGCATTAAAAGGGACAGATGCATTAAAAGGGAGGCACAAGGAAGCACCATTAGAGTTACTGGTCAAGCAGCCACAATAGCACAGGAGATGGATGCTGCAGTGTTGGCATATGGAGGACAATTGAGGTAAATTGCTATTTATCTATGTCTGGTTGCTATGTGTAGCTGTGCCGTGGGTGCCAATGGACAGTGCAGAGTTGAGAGGCTGGAAACTTGCTGACCCTCCTTATGGTAGCAGGTATTTGCTTATTAACAGTTTTAAGCTTTGCTTGCTGGGATTTCTATATGTACTCAAGCCAGCATAACTTTACTCTCTTGACATCAAGAATGGCAGAATTAAGCCAAAAGTATGCATTTGCAAAAATCCAACTCTGGCAACTTTGGCCTCACATTTCAGAGAGTTTAGAACAAGGTGTAAGGTTTGTTTCCTAGTCTCTTGCCTGTCAGTATTAATCTTGGAGCATGAGGCAGAAGGATGCTGCCCCCTCTTCCTAATTAGAGGCATCCTCTGTGAGCAGGCAGCATCCAGTTGGCATAGAAACAGCTTTGCTAGGCTGCAGCCTGTGCTGGATCTCCCCCGGCCCCCCTGGACCATCTTAAGGAGCTCCAGCACGCCAGTCATTTAGTGCCTACGGATTATGGCAAACAGCCACCCAGACCACGTTAAAAATATGATGTTGTCCATCCTGCAGGTTGGAGGGGAAAGGGCTTCTAGTTTCCTGGTGTTCCTTCTCAGCTCTTCCTTGTTAGCATCTCATGCATTAAACATAAAATACCCAACTAATCCATTTGTTCACACATCTCTTGGTAGAAAAGCTGAAAGGATGCTGGAGTTTGCTGAGCAGACCGGTTCCATGAGAAGGGTGTGGAGGTGACAAGAGTCAGTAGAAATAGGATTACCTGAGTGTTTGCACAGAGACCACGTGCATGCAAACTTCCCTTCAGTCCAAAGAAAGGGAAGAAACCCTCTCCCGCTGCCTGCCACCAACTTACCAGACAGCTACTCAGTGGCCACTGATATTACAACAGAGGCAGAAGTAGCCATCGTGTTGCACCACTTGATTGCACAGCTAAGTGATGCAGGAACCAGCCCACTTTACTTGCTGTATAGCACAGGGGGTGACTTCCCCACGAGATTTCTAGATAACAATGCTGAAGTTGAAAATTAAAAAATGTTAATGTCCTTGTTAAAGCCAGATTCAATATTTTAAAGCAAAGGATCATATTTCTGTCATGTACTCTGGAGCTTGAGGGCATGAGCTGCCTAAAATTAAATCCTGCTTTCCAGCCTTGTCTGATTTATTATTAATATGTGTAAAATGAAGGGGAGGTTTCAGAGCTTATCTGAAGGCTTGAGAAACAGGCTCGGCTACACTTTTCTGGCAGCATCCTCTGATATAAGGGTAGGTGAAAAGCAATAGTCTTTGATAGCACCAACAAGAGGCCTATAGCACCCCCTGAAAGAGAGGCAAAGCCTATTTCTGTTCTGATGCTAAATATCTAGAAGCTGTTTTAGAGAAAGGCAACATCTATCATTTGGACTAGTAATCTGGATTCTTGGCCAGAGACGTGTAGCAACTAGAGATGTCTATAAACAGCAACATCATCTGTCTAGTTTTTCTCTCCTTGTCCTGGTCTTCTCAGTGCTGACGCTCTTATCTATCCCTCATTCAGGAGAAACTAATGACGTCTTAGCACTTCACAGGTGCATTGTGTTTAGGGGCAGCACCACACAGAGATTTACAGATAAAACTTCTAAACACTAATACCTTCTTGCAGATGGTCCTTTTTTACTGCCCAGTTATAAAATCTCAGTGAAGAAATGAAACCTGTATTACTGCCTCAGCTTTCACTTCACCCTCAGGAAACCCCCAAAACCCAGACTTTCTTCTGACCACAACAGCTTGCTTCCTATGCAATATTCACCTCTGGAAGTGCATGCAGCAGTGCTTGGGAGAGCAAAAGCCCTGAGGATGAACAAAGCAGAGCCCACAGAGGCAGAACCCAGAGGCTCACCCACACTTCCCTTAACTTCATCTGCTTTTCACATCTTGCATGCTGCTATTTTCCCCGCTACACAAAAGCCAATGAAAGGGGCAGAGGAGAAATAAGGTTGCTAACAGCAGCAAGACTTACTTTGCATAAGATTATACATCACGATGCATCCCCCGCCACTGAACAGTCCCATGAAAACAGCCATTTGCTGCAGTTTTTTCAGAGAAGCTGGCATTTTTCCTCCCTGAAAAGAAAAAGGGAAGACATTTGTTGTAAAAGAAGAAAGCCAAAGGGTTACTTCTCCCCCTCCTCCTCTTTCCTAAAAGCCCTTTCCAACCAGGCCTGAATGAAAGTGCAGTGCACAGGCATTGGGCTCTTGCTTGCTGGGGCCCCACCGCTGGCCCAGAAGGAAGGGTAGTGAGAACAGAGCAAACTGGGAACCCAGCTGGGTTGAATGTTTTTATTCAACTTCTTTTAGTGATGCCACCACTTCACTAATTGCTGAGAAGAAAATGACCTCCCTGGTGTGGCTGGGGGCCAGTGCGGTGGCATTGTCGTGGGGGCTGCCGGTGCCCGTGTGCTCATTCGCACACTGTGAGCATTCAGGCTCCGGGGGCCAGATTTCTCTCTCGAGTAAACTCCTCTAAAGTAAACACGCTTGCGGCAGGGATGGATTTGGCCTGGAGTCTTAAGGGACAGAGCCAAGCCAGCACTGTGCCAGCAAAGATAATGGAGCCAGGGTGTGCGTATTCTGTTGTGTCATTTTTTTTCCCAAGCCATGGATAAACAGGAAGGCTCTTGCAAGCTATTTTTCTTCCTTCCTGCACCCCCTAGCCCAAACTTGCCCTGTTAATGAGTCACAATTTTGGCATTTGAATGTATGACCCAGCAGAATGAGAAACACCTCTGAGAACGTCAACCTACTAAACATTTCCACAGTTTGAGTAAGAGGGGGACTGTGTGGCCTGAAGAGCCTGAGCTAATGTTCCTGCCCACAGCAGGTTAGTAGGATTCAAGCTGAGTCGTCAGTGGGGGAGTAGCATGTTGCTTCAGGCTGTGGCAGGATGGGACTTGAACAAGCATCTGAGTATCAGCTTATGCTCTTGATACTCTTGCAGCTGGGATGGGAAAGAGGAATGGTTTTGACAACAATTAAAAAAACACATTAGCAAAAAGCTGCTCTTTTCAAAGAGGCATGTAGACATACGAATAATTGGGGTAACTGTTTGGGATTTCTAATCCCAAACACTTGTCACATGACGGTGTGACTAAACGTTACACTCAGCAAGAGCTGGTTAATAAACCAAGGCCCAAACCAGCTACAGAAATGTGACCTGGGCAAGGCCGTTTTGAGTCCTGCTGTGAAAACCACCTCTAGCATCCCTCAGGTATGCGTTAGTCAGATATTGTTCAGTTGACAACCACAGTTTAGAGAGGGTGGAGAGGCAAATGTCAGGACTTCTTCCCATCGTGGCTGGGTCAGGGTGGCATTGGCAGCCTCCCTCTTCTCACGACTCTGCTGACATGCCCATATGCTGCCTCTTGCATGCTCTAGCCTGAGGAAAACTGAGTGCAACTCATGTATAAATTTCATCTCTGCTCTGTTGGCACTAGCATTTAATTGTAAAGCATGCTATTCCTCCGGTGAATGCTTTCCTTATTAACTAGTTCCCTTGATTTTTAAGAATTCTTTATATTTAGGTTTACTGTTTAATTTACTTCAAATTTGTGGATCACTAGTAGTGATAGAAACATCTATTTTATGTACCGAAATGCCCACATTGTGCCATTGGTACAGTCCTCTTCCTCCTGATTCGTTTCTCTGATGAGTTTTCTTCATTGTTTCCCCTGAGGAACTTGAGGGGCATGAGAAGTTGCAGCAGAGGAAATAAAAGTGTGGTTTTACAGGGAAACAGAAGTAGCCATTTCACAAGGATAGTGAGAGCTTTCTGCCTGCATGCTTGTGTTTGCAACTTTCCTTAAATCCCTGTAAAATCTGATTAATAACCAAGTTTCTTGTAAAATTCATCTGGCCAAGAGGAGGATCTGACACTAACACCACATAACAGGGATGGGGAAGAAAAACCGTGGTAAATCTGGAGGGAGGATCAGATATAACAGGTTGTGACCTGTGGCATTTGTTTTTGCCCCTTCCAAAGTTGTGGCTAGGCAAAATTTGCTTTCTGTGATGAAATTCAGGGTAGTTGAATGCAAATGTCTGGGGGTGGGGGTACTGCTGGCAGTTTGCTGAGTAAGAGTGGGAAGACATGGAGCTCTTGCACCAGTGAGGAGGTTCTGACTGAGGCTCAGAGGACTTGACTAGTAAACAACGGAAATCAGAGGCTCTGTAACTCGCTGTCAGTGGGTTTGAGGTTTGTTAGGTCTCACGCTCTGCTTGCACCCAAACAAGGGAGATGGATGGAATAGGAAGAGCTTTGTGCTGACCAGTCACATGCTCACACAGAATCTCATCACCACCACTGTCGTGCCGAGACAGTGACATTTGGTGAGGGAGTTTGGCTGCTGAGAAATGGTGATCCCATTAAGCACTGCTGCCCCTGATGTGCTGTCCCTGCTTGCAGATGTCGTCTGTTGCTGGTCCTGGTGAGGCAGAAGTGTGGAAGGCTGAGGTGTGCCCAAGGTCCTCTTTACGGTATGTAGCTGGTTGTAGTTGGCTTCCTGCCAAACCCCACTGACTACAGCTGAAAAACCTCCCAGAAGAATGAGGAAAAAAAAATAGCAAAAGCTATATAAAATATATATATTTTACATATATCACAGATATACAATTAAGGTACTATGCACATATGAATACAGGAACCCCAAACCGCTCCCAAAAGGGAAAGAGGGGAAGGGAAAAGGGGAAAAAAAGGGACAAAAAGGGATAAAAAGGGACAAAAACATAACAGGTGTGCACAACCAAAAAACACGATAACCAACAAAATAAAGAACTAGCAAAATCTTACCACTTCCCTAGAGAAAAGCAGGACAGCCAGACCCAGCCCAGCACTTTCCCCTCACGTGTGATAGACAACAGCAGTCGCTGCAGGCCTCAGCTCCAGATAAGCAAGGCCGACGCAGGGACCTACCATTCCCAAACCTCGCTGGAAGAAGAGAGAGAGAGGTCTCTCTGACCAGCTTATTTATACCTCAGGTTACATGAAGGAATAGCATGGAATACTTCCTTGGTCACTTTCCTAGTTCCTTCCTGGCTACAAGCTGGTCTCCAGGAAGGCCTAGACTGAAACTAGCACATGGTAACAGGGAGAACATCTCCATTGCTTGCTTTAGGTCACAGTGGGAAGCCCACGGGCTGGACCACCCCATCCCCTGGCTTGACCTTGATGCTCTCCTCTCACTTGCTTCTCAATTGTTTTCCCAAGCCAGTCCTATGACAGCACATTGCGGGAAGAGGTTCAGAGCTCAGCGTTTAACAAGCCTCTCAAGACTTTGCAAACCCAAGGACAGAAGTGTCCTTGGAGCCCAGTGCATCACCTCACAGGAGGGCTGCTGCTTCCCTTCCCTGCCATCCTGGTCCCTGGTGGAATGGATGCTTGGATATTACATCTTCGGGCACAGAGCTGCTGATGACTTCTGAATGGTGACAGTGGAGATACTAATGGTATCAGCTTGTGGAAGACCAAAACGTAGTAAGGATCTGTTGTATGCAAGAACTCATCACTAGGATTTCTGTCCTATGGCCAACTGTGTTTGCTGCTCCAATCTGCTGCTCTGCTGAAGTGCCGTGGAGGTGGCTCACTAGGGAAGGGAAGCAGAGGTGTGCCTAGAGGCATGCTTCCTGTCCTGAGCATTTCTGAAAATTGCTTACAGCCTGCAAAGTGTAGAGGCTCTCAAAGGGAAGGATCAAAGCCCCTCCACTTCATTTGCCACAAAGGCAGTAACTGTAAGACAATGCATTTGGAAGAATCTTACAGATATAGGGGCAATTGCCTCCTAAGGAGGGAATTTCATGTTGCTATCTGTGGTGGAGATCTCCCCTCAGAAACTGTTATACCACTAAAAAAGTATGCAAGTCAATTGGTGGAAAAACAGATTTCTTCACAGCCGGTAATTAAAAAAGCACAGTTTCCAAGCTACGCTGTTCAGCAGACATCTTTTCCTCCACCTCATATGCAGTGGTAAGAAAGATTAAGTGGAGATTAACACATACAAAAATCAAGAGAAGAGACACTAAATCACTATAAGTAGTGTTCTCAAAAAATAACTAGTAAAGAGGAGAGCATTGAAGTAACGGTAATGTTTGCTTTGTGTCTTGAAAATAGCAAGGTATGGAGGAGAAGGTAGTATTCAGGATTGACTTTGAAGCTGAGTGGGACTCAGGCAGTTAATGAGACTTAACAAACCCAGAGAGGTAGAAGACTCCCAGGGTCACATGTGAAATGGTGGGTTACTGCAACAATAAAGTCTGTTTCCAATTAGACTTTGTTTTCTCCACAGAGGATCTTCTAAAAATAGGCTGGCCTTAAGAGAGTCTCCCTTATTTTTCACAAATTTGAATTTTCTGTCTCATCTCTGAAATTTGTGTGGCAGAGGTTGGTCTCAGGCACCTCCATCAAAGGCGGGTAATAGTGAAGCAAGGGCATTTTCACCAAGCCTCAAACATTAATTTTATTTTCCTCAGAACTGAGCAAGGGAGCTGGGACTGCAGGTTCTATAGGGAAGGCATTTTCTCCTCCTTCTCCTACTCCTGATATCACCAGGCTCCCCCAGCATCTCCAGATTCTGGGTCATATCACAGATCAAACAGTAAACAATAATTTATTGCTCTGAAATAAGAGAGAAGTAACTTGATCCATGCAAACTCAGTGTGATTGCTGGCTAACTCAATCTGGGCTAGTGCCTACCCACCTCGCCAATACAATATAATGAGAGGCCACCAAGGCAAGCATCTGAGAGCCTTTAAACCACCTTGAACCACTGTAGTCCTGAGGTATTGACATGACACACTAAATACATGCGGAAAAGACTACAATGAAATTAAAATTTATCAATAGACCTGAGCATCTAACTTCAAAGCTGGAACTGTTGCCTGACCCTTCTGCAATGAAACATCCCCTTGGGCTGGTGGGATTTGAATTGGCCCTAGGTCCAGCTTTTCTGCAAGCCACCGAGGAAGTCACAGAAGATTAAGGGAATGTCAGGCAAACTACACAAGAGCACACACTTGTATTTCACATTCTTGCTTTCCTGCCTATCCATTGATCTTGTAAGATCCATAAGACATTTGGGTGTATGCCAATTTCTATACTAGTAACATGCCAGGACAACATTTTAGAGACAGCTTCTTGACACTCGCTGCCTACAAAATACCTTCACCAGTACTGTCACCAAAAACAGGACAGTACAACAGAAGTGTTTTGATAGGATTTCAGCATATTATAGCCCCCTTTTTTCACAGAAATAGTCTCAACATACTATTTACCTATTTCTGAGAAGTAACAGCACAAATTTTTCCCCTTGCCAGCATGTTCAGAAGCACCAAAGACCAAAGTCTTGTGTATGAACCGCTTTCACCAACACCTTAGAAATTTGTAGGAAAGAAGTTTGCTTAATTCACAGTCCAATCAAAAGTCAGAGCAATACTTTCCTTTTTTTTTTTCTCCGCTATGTGATTCTTCTACAGATGCACTGAAAATGCATATTTTAGCATTTAGGGAGGTAGAAAACCTTTTCAGCCAGCTTTGAAATGGTCCCTCCCAGGGTCTCCTCATGGATCAGTTCCTAGAAATGTTTAACTTACCTAGTGTAAATGCATTGAAAGGACAACTCTACATATGAGAAACACTGTTTCTTGGCTTGCCAGTAGTCCAAAATTTATTTTCTGCCTTTGCTGCTGGCTAATTAACAAGGAAAGTGAAAGCAGTCAACAAAGTGATTAAGGACTCCAAACAGCCACCTTACTCTTGTAGCTGTATCACTTGTCCTGGGGCACATGCTACAATGCAGGTGGCCTTCTCAGCCAGTACAAAGCCTGCATGGTGCCTTCAGATATCTTAGTTTTATTTCCCTTTTTTCCTCTCTTGGGCACTCTTATTTTCATGTTTCTGTTCTATTTGAAAATACCATTTCTATTCCACTATCACAGACTACTTCCCATGTGCTCTTAAGCTACATGGTCTCATCTGGTGGGCTCACCTGTACTGCATTTCTTTTCTTCCTATCCACCCACTTTCACCCCTCTATGTGCCCTCTTACCCTGCAGACTATTGCAACACCACCCCAGTGCTGAGCAGACAGAAGCAGTGGAGCCACCATTCCCATTGTCCAAGGAGCCTTCTCCTGCTGTCCCTCAGTTTCTCTCTGTGAAAATGGAGTCTGTCTTCCTAACCGCAGGTTACAAAGGCAGGTGCCAAAATTCTTTATTGGTTTTCTCTAAGTTGGAAAGATGCTACAGACTAGATTGTTCAGTCTTTTTGAAGGCCGTGTCCATGTGCAAGCCAGATCAACAATCTGCTCCAGATCACCCTCCAAGACATCTAGAGCTGTCTGTACTTTGTACTGAAATACAAGGGATATCGCAGAAACAAGGCACGACTAGGGCGTGTTACTAGAGAACCAGGATAATTATAGCTACAGTGTGACCCATTTTTGCTGTTATTGGAGGATGGCATTATAGGTTAATGCCTCATAATCTGTCATTAGCATCCCTAATTGTATGTTTCTGTAATTGGACACCATGGAGGGGGGAAGAAGGTGTGAATGTTCACCTTTTGTGTTTTAGAGGTGAACTGCAAAGGATTTAAGAATAAGAATTCATAAGTAGGGTAAATGAAAAAGTTGCACCCAAGGTGCATGAAGTAAAGATCACTGGTGTTTATGGTTTTAACAGTGAGGGGTTTACCTGGAAAAGCTCTGGGACAGCTTCTTGGCTTCCTTGCCGCTGGGAGTGAGGTCATGGGTGCTGCAATCCAAGGTTCAAAAGAAATGCTCTGTGCTGTACCTGCTCTCCCCACAGCAAGCGGCACAGCCCAGCTTCCAAATGGGCATGTTAACATAAAAGAATCACATAAGAAATAGCAGATATAGTCCTTTGACTGTCTTCTGCTGCCAGGATGAGATGGAATAGCCCTCTGTGCTTAGCAGAAAGGGACTGTAAAGCCAGGGACGTTTTTGTAGTGTGGTGTGTGTTTTCTGTATATAGTTTCCTAGAATAGGTTCACTGAACTTTCAAGGTAAGGGAGCAATGAAGAGTACAAAATGATTTCTCATGGAAAGTTCAAAGAGTTTGCAATGCTTTCTATGAAGTAGTAACTACTTAGCTTTCTTGGCAGTTTGTGGGCATTTATCTCTGTCCAATATATTCACTATGCCAAAGACACCGACAGAATCTCAAAGCAAAACCCAATGACCAATCTTGCTTTAGGTCAACTTACTAAATCCTGAGATGTGGGAAAAAATCAAGAAACACAAGGAGTCTGTGATAACCTTCTTGGTTAACAGGTCACATTTTACCTTGCAAAGAGAAAAGCAAATGGTCACAAAAGCTCATAGAAGTACTGCAGATGTCACTGGGTTAGGAACTGTATGTGGCTATGTTAAAAGTTAATACCAACCTGGAAGTTCACAATCTCCAATCCTGATAAGGCTTGTGCTTGTCTGTAGCCTTGCTAACTTCAATAATATGAGCCACATGCATGCATTAAATAGGCATGCAGTAGATGGTGACCTAACGGAACTGAACGCCAGGGGAGGCAGTCATAGGGAAAAAAACGCTCAAAGCAGGAACATAGTGTAAATCATAAGATGCTTGCTCCCTTGTAATGTGTCTGCTTCCAGAAATGAGGGGGTAAAAGATGTGATTTGCTCTGCTGCGATCAGCATAGAGCCTGATTTACAAAGCTTTTAAAATATCAGCGGAGTTGGAGAGGTTTGCAGCCCTATGGCCAAAACCCTTGCTGATCTAATGCATTTTATTATATAATATTATAGCAGTACATACTTCTGGCGTTTCACAAACACACTGCTCTTATTCATAACTTCCTATTGAAAACCAAAACTTAAAAAAAAATGCTATCTTAATTCCCCTCAGATCCTCAGTTGTGGTAAGTTTATTTCAAGTGCCCATCTTTACACCCTCCCTGAAGGGCTCCTCCTTCAAAAAAGAAGGATCCTACCCTTCCTCTGAAAGTCAAGTCCCTTTTAAATATATCAGATCAACACTTAAAGCCTAAGGCTTTGAGGAAAACTAATTACTTTCAAACATTTTGGACATCCGGATCATTTACAGAAGTTGGTCCTTGCCCATATGAGCAGAACTGGTTCAGTATCAGCTAAATCTGTTAACACAAATTAGGATCTGGGGAAAAACTAACCTCAAAGACTCGTGACTTTTTAATAAGCATTGAGGACCAAAAACAGCACAAGACCAACAGGGATTCTGACCTAGAAACATTCTATTCTCAGAAAGACAAAAAGGGGGAAAAAAAGTTATTATGGGAACCATCAAAAATAAATGAAAGAAAAGAAGTTCTCATAGTACTTGAAGGTTTCTGTTCAGACAGATCCAGCTTTTTAACTTGAGCACAGAGCTGCACAAGATGGAGGGTGCAAAAGGGCAAAGGAAGTGATGGAACCTGTCACCACTGCACATGCAGCATCTCGAGTCAGACCTTTGATTTGATCTGGGCAGTAGCTACTGATTTATCCATCCACCCTTGGAAAAAGGAAAGGATATGCTGGGCACTCACAAGACAGTTGAATGTGAATCAGATTCCCTTCCAAAAATGAGTCAAGAGGAATTTCAGAGAACAGCTGACCGCAATCCATATTTTCCTCCTCAGAATATGTGTGGGAAAAGATCTGAGGAAAAAATATCTCTCTGTTTAATACTTTAAATGTTACTCACTAAATCTTTGGTCCTTCAACAGTTTCTGTTAGGGAATGCAGGATCTTTTTTTTCATTGTGCAAAGCTGTTGCAGAAAAACATGGAACAACTTCACAGGAAGTCTGTGACAGGTCAGACACTTGGGCTGTGTCCCTGTCAGAGACTTGGGCTGTGTCCCTGCCCATGAACCATGCCTTCTTTTAGACTAAAACATGCCAGCCTAGACAGATTCAGCACAATTCCAGGGCTGTTTCCTACAACAAACCTACCTTTAGGGATATGGGGACAAGCTTTGCCTATGGAGCTACAGCATAGGGCTTTGTCCAACAAGGAGGTGTGACAGTGCAAGAGCTGGGCAAAAGCACGAACCACACCTTTGCATACTGTTGATGGGTGAGATTTTTCAAAACATTGTGTGTTTTGTGTATGCTCAACAGGTAACACCTTCACAGGATCATTGTTTTCTAAAACTGTTGGGATCTTTGAAAATTCAGCATCTGCTTTACGGCATTTTCAAGATACATCCTCACTAGTAGCTTTCAAACAGGGCTGTTAACAACATTCCTTATTGCTACTGTAATCTTCAAATACTCATTTGTGGGGTTTGTTGATCAAATGCTAGATTACCGAGCACTCAGTACAATGAAATTTGACAAATGTGGCACACATGAGATACATAGGTGTGCTGTGATCCATTAGAAAAGGAAACAGGACCAGTTAGCGGGGAATGACTGCTGCTAATCATGCTGGTAGGGATCTGTGCCCACAGACTTCTTAAATTGAAGGCTGAAGAGGAAATACTTTGCCTTTGACCACAACACACACATTTTTCTGTTTGTTTATGTTTTGTTTTCCCATCACACACTACTCAGCTTTCTCTTTGTGGGAACTAGGAAGAGCGATGAAGAGATACAATCACTTTTATACAGTGTTACTCCCAGGACCCTCTGCTTAGATAGAAAAAGCCCCTACTTGGCCTTACTTTCAATTTACCCCTGACTTTTGCAGTTCATATGATGCCAGCACAAGCAAAGCAGAAGACGGTGCTCCCAGGTTTCACAAGCAGCTCAGGGACTGATTCACTGTATAGTTGTGGCTAAAACCATAAACTTTGGGTGTCTCAATTCACACATGTAAAAATAGGTGACTAAACACTTCCTAGTTCCTACTTTGCTGGAAGATACCAACATTTAATGGCTGCAAAGGGCTCTGACAGTCTAAGATGTAATTTTACTTAGGTATGAAATTGCCCATGTGCAGTACACACATGTTAAGAGGCACAACAATGTGTTCCAGACAAAAAAAATATTTTGCAGTCTGGCACAGGGCGTGTTGTAGGACCAGCAGAATAATTATAGCAGCTGCAGTTGGCACTTATTAGAAAATTAAAGAAGCTGTTAACAGGTCATTAATAATCTGTGACTACCTAACTTAATAGTATTCTTCAGTCAACAGGCATGAAGGTGAGGGGGTGGAGGAAACAGTCACACCTTTTCTAAGTCACTGTAGAACACCGATACCCTTATTTTTCATCACTTTGTAATCTGCTTGTTTACTTCCCTCCTGGTGTCTCTTCCCACTGGCTCTTCTCTCACTGCTAACTCTCACACCGAAGGACCGCAAGACTCATGGCCAGGGAAGCCAGCAGCAGCACCTGCAACAGCAAGTCCCACGGGAAAGCCAGCCCTCTCTGCAGTGTCTCAGCCTGGTAGCTGCCTCCCTGCTGTTCAGAGTTGCCTCTAAACACCTTTCCTGAGTCTGTGCTGCTACTTTTAAAGACCGTTTTGTCTGTAAGGCATCCCAGTCCATTTACAACACACTAGGATTTGTTCTCTTGTGTTTTGCTCCTTGCCTTCTGCATGTAAGCAGATGGCTGGAGGAGGAGGAGGAAAAAGCAACTTGTTTCCCTGCTTCTTCAGACAAACACATGCTCTTCAGAGCAGACAGATGCCTTAAAGTCAGATCCAGGACATCAATTCATCTTTAAGGTTCAGCTGTAGCGTATAAAGCATTTGCTGGCTCTGGTCTAATGCTTTTTGACATTGTCAGGCCCCCTTCAGTGAACTACTGCCTTGTAACCAACTTGACAGCAAGTATTGTTCTACATTTATTAATACCGTACATGTTATCTCCAAGCTGACACGTTCCAAGGCCAGGCATCAGCTGTGCTCAGCCCTGGCTTCAAAAAAAATATTCAGACAACAGCACAGACCTCCTGCTGCTAATAAGTAAATAAATAAATAAAAACATACCTTCACCATGCTACTGCCACAGAGTTTTACCCTTTCAATCTCAATTTTGCAGTAATTTTTATTTTACTTGTGGTCATAAAAATCTGAAGTACCCACTTTCTTGCACCCTCCTCTTTTTGGCTTCTTTAGGAAAGGAGTTCTGTTTTTTTTTCCCAGAGTCTTCTTTCTCTCCTTTCTCTCACTTTTGTATGCCAACCTAAATTCAAGAAACTTGAATCTACATAAAACTTAATTAACTTCAGGAACTGTTTTTCCTCTCCTCTCCTTTTATTTTATTTTTTTTTTAACTGTAGTCATTATAATTTTCTATTATTTTAAAAATGTTCAGCTTAATGAGTTACGTTTACTTAGTCAATAAGCTGATGATGCCCATGACAGGACCAGAAGTGTTTGGTTAGCAGCAGGGAAGGGAAAAAAAATCAATAACTCCAAGCATTTGGCAGCTTTGTGGGCAGGAAATCATTTGTATTCTCTGGTTTAAATCAATGACCTTCTTTTCTTTGCTGTTCCAACAGGAAATTATAAACTCTGTGAACACTATTTGCATAGTGCCTTCTGCAATACACTTGTATATGCCTGGGCAAAACAATATGTTAACCCCAGCAGTGCTTCTCTGAGGTCCCTGTTAGAGAAACACAGGCACTTTAGCACAGAGCTTTTCAGCAGGCACTTGTATTTACTAGAAAAGGAGACAGACTAGAAAAGATGTGAAAAGAGCTCCTTCTCCACTTCCAACAGCACCACCAAGAGATGAAGGCATTATTATTGAATAACAGGGTTGTCTACTGCAGAGTATGAAAAAATGCCTTCTTTGTAACTTGGCAAGATTTTGTATTTTCAGTATGACAGACAGAAACTTGCTACTTCTACATTAAAGCTGCATTTGCACTTTTGTATCTTGCCCTAATGTGCCAGGTACAATTTGAAAGTGTTACATTTTTGCTTAAACTCATCATTACAGAGTTCTTGTTTTTGAAAGTTTCAGCCTCCTCTGTCCCATCCTTTTGCAAAATTCACTTAAGAAAAAGAATATATCTTGCCATGCTTATGGGAAGCTGTTCCAGGGAGGTGACATTCCGAGAAAAGGCACTGTTGAACTTGGCACTGAATTTGCCTTCTAACATTTTCTGCTGCCCTGCACCACTTTAAGTCCAGATCAGCTATTTTTTTTAGCATGTAGGAGAGCTGGCATTCAAGAAGACAAGCAAGTCACAGGAGACAGAGGGAGGTATGTGACACCTTTTTCTATATTTCCCCCCGTGTGATCACAGTGCAGCCCCAAAGCCTGGGATTCCTGTCTATGGCCAGAGCTAAGTGTTGCAGGCACCAGCAACTGGCACTGTAAAGCCCCTGGATGTACTTATTTTCATCCTGTGCAGGAGAATGATACAGTAAATCAGTATGGAAAACATGATGATAACCCCAGAAACTACCAAGGCCTCAGTGTAGTCTTCACTAGAATCAAATGTCATAAAATTCAGGCATCCAGATTTCTCTGCTTTGCTTTTTCACATGACAAGTCCTTTCAGAGCAGTTCTCAGCATCCCTCCTGTGCCCCCAATGCCGCTGGCACAAAGATGTAGTAATCAGTTGATACTTGAAGTATATTTATTAGTTATGTCACAGTTCTCCCTCTCTGAAACAAAAAGGAGAGGAATGATTCTCTGAGTGATTGAAGTGGAAGTAACACGTGATTCTTGAGCTCCTCCTTTGTTTCTATTAATCTGCCAGATGCAAAGTTGCCTATCCTGACCCCACAAGCATTTCACTCCTTCCCACTGCAAACTTTAAGTGCTTGTTGGGGTCCCTTCCAGAGCTCCTGGCTGCTGGAGCACCCTTTGCATTTCTAAAATTTGCAGTTCCTGATTGAAGGGAGCCACCGAGTAAATGAGTTGTATCACTTTCTCACTGACAAGAGACTAAAGTAGTATCACAGTATCATACAAAGGCTGAGGCTGTGACCTCTCTGGAGGTCACTTTTTCCAATATCCTTGCTCAAATTTGGTTGCCTACAGGTGGTTGTCCAGCTTTTGAGTATCTCCAAGGATGGAGACTCCACAACCTCCCTGGGCAACCTGTGCCAGCAATTAGTCAACCTCACAGTGAAAAAACCTTTCCTGATATTCAGACTGCATTTCCTGTGTTTCAGTTTGTGCCCATGGCCTCTGGTTCCATCACTGGGCACTGATGAAAAGAGCCTGGGTCCCTCTTCTTTACATTCTCCCCTCACATACATTGATGAGATGCCATTTGAGCCTTTTCTACTCTGGATAGTTCCAGAAAACAGGGATAAATCAAAGGATGAATTGGGTAGCTATTGCTCAGTTGACTTTCTTCTACTGAAAGGATCAAAAGCAAATGTCCCTTTCTTTCCCTGTTGCTTTCCTACTTTCCTCCCTTCCCCATCCATACATCTTCTGTATGTCACGCTGTCACCTTTTTTCTATAGAATACCACGTACCTGGAATCTTTCTATATCCCAACAAGAAATGTTTAATTTGGAAAGGCGTGCAAGTAGAATAGCTCATGCGAGAAATATGAACTGGTTTAGTTAGTTTTAGGCTTTGGACTGATTTATGAGTGATTTATGGTTCCATATGAATAAAACCTAATCAGAAACTGTGGAGTGATAGTGCTGTATGTACAAAGAGGAGAGCTGCTCCTGTTACACGGGGAACATATAGGCCATAATCTAATTATTTTGAGGTTGTGAAAGGTGTGCTAAGTGACTAATTCATTTCACTAATATATGACAAGCCACTTTCATAATGGAAAAAATTACTTTCCGAGATAATTTGTTTTTAACAACTTATCATAGCTGTTACCCTTCTAAGGGTGTATATTTTCCATTATGCAGAAAACTGGTAGGGAATAAAAATGCTGATAGACTAAAAACCTTCATTTAGCTTCAAAACAGAAGTTGTTTGGTTTTTTATAATGTATAAGCTGTGGTCTTCGAGACATTGCTCGGAAGACAACCATGTGTTTTATGTGGCCTCTGTTTGCAAAAAAGAAAATATACTTCTTTCTGGGGAAAATAAACTAGATCACACTGCAGGAAAAGAAGATTTATACCACAAAGTTCAAGAGTACTCAAATGGAAATTCAGCTCCAGATTTTCCTATTGTCTCTGTCCTTGCATTCCACTTAAATGTACTGTTGTATTCATACTGAATTGAATGGGATTTGGTGTAGAGGTAAAAAGCAAGACTCTTCTGAGTTTAATACCAGGTAATGACTTTGCTGACTTCAATAGTCAAAGTGACAGTGTTCAGATGTATATTTAACATCTGTTAAATGAACCATTTGGAATAAAATGCACTATTCACTGCCCTTAAAATTCTCTCTGTAAATGCATTGTGAAACACCTTGTGGTATTTTTTTTAATCTTTATAAAATCAGTAATGAGGACCCACAGTATCCCAAACATTACTCTCCTCATGTGATGCTTCTTCAGTGTAAATCCAGTCCCATTTCCAAGATGGCAGTTGTCTGACAGAGCTAAAACTTACCAGCTCTGTTCTTCTGCCCAAGTCTGGCACAGATGGGCAGATCCTTTCGTATTCAGATCCATTAGACACACCCTTAATTGTCTTATTTGTTCTTCTCCATTTATGTTGGCCATCACTTTCTAACAGGCCATTCTCCTCCACCCAAGGCAAGCAGCTAGTCAAGCAAACGGTTGAAAAGGCTTGAAAGTATCTATAGGCATGGGATTTTCCCCTGGGCATGTTTTGTCTGGGATATTTTATGATGTAAAGGTGGTCTTACTGGTAAAAAGAACTGGCCCTACAAGGTCTGGATACCTTGCTGAGAAGGGAATACTAGTTAGCATGCATAATATCCAGTACTGGTGGAGAAAGTAAAAAGAAATCAACTAATCATTTTTAACTTATGCAACAAGCTCCACTCCTCTGACTGTGTTTTTTTCTCAAATCTGCTTGCTAACTATGATGCACTATGTGCCATTTGTGCTTTAGGGGATTAGGAGTCTAAACCAGTTTCCTGGTGAAAGCAAGAACTTTCTCGTTAAACGTTAAAGGCAAGGTTTTAATTAGTCACAACGTTCTGGCAGAGAGTTAAGTCCTTCCTTCGATAACCAGCAGTTAGAGATGCAGCAAATGTTAACAACCTAATAGGAAGCAAACTAGGCAGGCATACGTTACATCATCCAGAAAATGGATTTCATGTAGCTTTTTGAGGGACTGATCACACTTTAAACCAAAAAAGTTGTTTATTTTTAATATGGAGGTTTGGACTGTTTGCAGCACCTAAAGCTACAGTCCCATCATGTCCCATTTCTCTCAGATCTAGTGTTTAATATGCTCCCCGCTGCACAATTTGAAGTTAAAAATGCCACCTGGTTTAGGGGTGGAGAGGGGAAGAAATTCAAACAGAAACAGCAAACATTCTCAGACTTTTAGCAGCTATGCCTAGATGTCAAAAGAACAAACATAAGAAATCATGAGAGATTTCAATAGCTTTGATTCTGATATGAGCTTTTCAAGCCACAAATGGACTTTTTTAAGGAAACAACAGTATGTATGGGGGTTGTGTGGGAATGGAAAAGGGCTTCCTATGTGAATGTGACACCAGAGAGGATTTAGTGCGAATGGCAAAGGAACAAAGTTTTATCAAATGCCAGCCTAAAGGCCCAGGAGCCTGATTTTCATCTCCATGCAAAAAGAGAGCAGCCTGCTACACAGCTCCTCCTCCACCATCACTGGAGCCACCAAGGACTTAGATGGGGGAAACTCTCTTAAACAAAGCCTAGCAAATCACAAGGAAACCCCAAATTGAGGGGTTTGAAAGGTTACTGTATCTTTGGGGATACAGTAACTTTAAGGGATGCTTTAGGAATACTGTATCTCAGATAGAGCGGATTTTTTTGAAAGGTTACTGTCTCATTAGGTATATAGTAACCTTTCTGAAGACTGTATCTTTAGGGATAGAGAGTTGTTACTTTGACGTCTTTCTGATCTTCGGTTTTAACCAAGTAAAACAAAAAGGTAGACTGCTACTTTATTCTCTTAAATAACTAGTCAGTTTAGATATCTTCTGCACTCTGCAGTTTAGGAAGCAAACAGAAGTTGCACTAAGAAATCTTGAGCTTTTGTCATGGCCAAGAAGCAAGACTCTTTTTGGCAGTGGGCAGGGCTTTTCCAGTGGACCCACTGCAGTTTTCCAGCCTCCGCACTCCTGTAACTTAGGAAGTTCTTGAAATGCAACCCAACATCAGTACAGCACCAGGGTGTACTAACGAGACCTCACTTACTGTAGTTTTAGTACAACGGGGAGAGATTGCCAGTGTCCTCTACAAAACATTGTGCTCTAGTGATTTTTCCCCTGGCTTTGTTTCAGACAGTTGTATGATAGGCTGATAACTATATTTTAAACTCAGTCATGCAATGTATGCAGGTTTCTGACTTACCCTATTCAAACTGAAGCTCAATATCTATGGCTTGATTTTCAGGCAGCTGAGGAAGCAGGGAATGTTACTTGTCCTGTAAAGCACTCAGCATAACAACTGGCTTTTTGGTGCCACTCCTCTAAAACTGCAGTTGAAGATCACTATCACTAGGTAGTCCCAAACCAGCTAAGAAGCTCCCTTGACAGGTCTTATCCAGACTCCACCTAGACAAAAGAGAAAATGCAGAGGAGTGGGTATGTATCAGAGACAGAGGAAGAATATTCAAACATTCCCAAGAATTCAACATGATCACTCAATATTCCACTCCAAGACAACATCTAGCACTGTCGGTCCTACTGCCTGAGTTTTCCATGTAACCAATTTACAGTAAAGCGAGAAGTTTGCACATGATATTTTGACATTACGACAGTGCTATCAAAAACATTAGGGATCTCCTGCAGCTTTCTCCAGTCTTACTCACAAAAACCTTATGAAAATAACCACACACTCTTTAGCATGAAATCATTCCTGCCATGCTAACGGTATTTGTAAAAAGGAGGTAACAGACCACGTATGTCAGCCTTGTAACTAAATATAATTTTCAT